GGGGTAGCCATGACGACGGTAGACTAGCAGTGCAAGCAGTAGGGGAAGGGTACGCAGTGACAGAGAGGCTGTGCTCACCGGACAGGGATGCTCGGGCGGCTCAACTGTAGGGCGGCTCGGTGGCTGGGCGGCTCGGCTGCTGGGCGGCTCGGCGACTTGGCTGCGGGGCCGCTCGGCTGCTGGGCGGCTCGGCGGCTCGGCGGCTGGGCGGCTCGGCTGCACGGCGGCTCGGCTGGTGGGCGGCCGGGCGGCTCGGCGGCAGGGCGGCTCGGCTCCTCTGGTACAGGGCGGCGCGGCGGTCGGCGGCTCGGGCGCGCTGCTGCAGGAGGGGAGAGCGGCGGGGCCGCAGCAGACGGGCGGCGGGGCCCGTTGACGTAGGGCGGTGGGGCCGGTGAAGTAGGGCGGCGGGGCCCTTGAAGTAGGGCGGCGGGGCCGCAGGTGTAGGGCGGCGGGGCCGCAGCAGACGGGCGGCGGGGCCGCAGACGTAGGGCGGCGGGGCCGCTGAAGTAGGGCGGCGGGGCCCGTTGAAGTAGGGCGGCGGGGCTGCGAAGTGGGGCGGCGGGGCCGCGAAGTGGGGCGGCGGGGCCGCAGCAGACGGGCGGCGGGGCCGCTGAAGAAGGGCGGCGGGGCCGCGAAGTGGGGTGGCAGGGCCGCAGCAGACGGGCGGCGGGGCCGCTGAAGCAGGGCGGCGGGGCCGCGAAGTGGGGCGGCGGGGCCGCGAAGTGGGGCGGCGGGGCCGCTGAACAGGGCGGCGGGGCCCGTGAAGGAGGGCGGCAGGGCCGCAGGAGTAGGGCGGCGAGGCCGTAGAGTAGGGCGGCAGGGCCGCGACGTAGGGTGACGGGGCCGCGAAGTAGGGCGGCGGGGCCGCAGGAGTAGGGCGGCGAGGCCGCAGTTAGGGCGGCGGGGTCGCGACTAGGGCGGCGGGGCCGCGAATGCGGGTGGCGGGGCCATGCTAGTAGGTGGCGGGGCCGCACGAACGGGCGACGGGGCCGCTAAGGTAGGGAGGGCCGCTAGGGCGTAGGAGCCCCTAGGGCGGCTCGACGAGGTGAGAGCGCGACTCGGGCGGAGCGCGCTTCGGGCAGGAAAAAAAAAAAATCGAAATTTGGTGGGCCCTAAGCACAGTTCCCACAGGGGAACCTGCTCGATACCATGAGAAAATGAGAACGAGAATGAATGAACTATGAATGAACTGAGTACAAGTACTAACCCTAATTGGGTTGTACCCCTTGTGGGCTACCCCACTATGGCCTACACAATATGCAAAAGCTATATGTTCTGACAGTACGCCCGACTCTCTCTCTGCTACTGGTAGCCAGGCAACGAAGGCTGCGAATGCCATGTCGCGGCTGGGTAGGTTTAGGTGCCAGACGTAACGGGTGGCGGCGTCGATGAAGGTGATCGTGTAGTTGTATGTGACTTGTCCTGGTTCCCGATTGAACAGGATGTCGCTATACACCTTCTCGAGTGGTGCGTACGCGGGAGCGCTTGGGTTGTGATGTGACGCGAATGGTCGATGCGGTAAGTCGCCTTCAGGGCAGGTGAAGCATGTTCCTCGCGCCCGTTAAAGTTCTCGTCCGTCGGTCAGTAGGAGTGAGTCTTTGTCAAGTACTCCTGCTCTTATTGTATTGTTTAATACTGTGTTGCTTGGGTGTCCCAACCTTGCGTGCCAGGTGCTTTCGTTGGCGCGATGTCCGGGTGATCGTCGGTACATGTCGGAGTTGGAGTAGAAGCTGGAGGTGAAGTTGGCGCTGCGATGAACTTCTCGTGGTGCTGGGTGCAGTTGTTGCGCTGGTGTTGGTGGTGTGTCGTCGATGAGGAGTGGTGCCGTTGAAGGACCAGCAACTGGTGTTGACGTTTCTGCTGCTGCCGTTGTTCTCTCTGCTGCTGCCGATGTTGTCTCTGTTGCTGCCGATATTGTCTCTGGTGTTGCCAATGTTGTCTCTGCTGCTGCCGATGTTGTCTCTGCTGCTGTCGATGTTGTCTCTGCTGCTGTCGATGTTGTCTGGATTGTTGCTAACGCCCTTGTTCTTTCTGCTTCAGGGATGGTGTGTGAGTACCAGAGGCCTTCTGGACTGAAGTCTGGATCAAGGTCCGGAGGGTGTGTCCAGTCGGTGAAGTTGATGATGGAGTCGCTATCGGCAGTGCCAAGGTCAGGGACGAAGTCAAGAACGAAGACGTTGTTCTTGAGGACCGCCCTGCCGATGTAGAGTCCTCCTCTCCCGTGATACAGCTTGAATTCTTGAGTGGTACTGTCTGCTTCGAGGTGAATCCCCTTCGACATCAGCTGGCTGACGCTCAGTAAGTTGTAGCTGAGTCCCTCCGCGATTAGTACCTTTGACATCTGTAGTACGACGTTTTTTTCCCTTGACTGAAGTTGAACTACGCCTTGTCGTCGTGTTCGCAGGTTTTGATTGTTGGCGACTAAAATGACGACTTCGCATTGGAGCTGGTGTTCTCGTTGAACGAAGCGTCCTGAGGAGCACATGTGTTGTCCGCAGCAACTGTCCAGGAACCAAGTGTCCCTTCCAGATGGTTCGCTTTGGGCGATGGTGGCGTATGTCGGGTCGGCTGAAGTGACTCGCGTCAGGGTGTGGTTTCGTCGAGTCGTTCTTCCGGTGAGTACTTCGGTGGTGACTCGGTGATGCAGGAGGCTGTTATCTTTGTCATGCAGCTGACGATGTTTCTTGCTCCTTGTGCAGGTTGTCCTGTTGAAGTCGTTGAAGCTTGAATCTGAGTCGTAGGATTTGTCTGCGTTGAGGCGACTTGGCCGCTTGAAGGCCGAAGTTGCCGCTGCGGGATTGTTGATTGTTGACGATTCGGGCAGTGCGTGCGCGGGTGTCCTGAAGTTTTGCAGATGTGGCAGAACGGGGGTACTGGCTTCAGTTGTTGCTGCCGGTTGTTGTTGTTGTTGTAGCGTCGCTGGGTGTGGAACGCGAACTCTGGTGCTGACGTCTTCTTTTTATGTCGTTCTTCTTGCAGGTCCATGTCTTGCTGCTCGGCATGGATTTCGGCGCAGAGCGCTGCTTCGGAGATTCTTCCGTGAGCTCGGAGGATGGCCTTTGTGGCGCGCCATTGAGGACCGAGGCCGCTGATGATGACTGTCACGAAGGCGTCTTCAGAAATCGACCCTCCGCATCGAAGAAGCTTGTCGCGCAATTCGTGACATCGACTAATATACGCCATTCCTTTCTCCCCTGGTTTCATTTCAACTGTTGTTAGTTGCGCCATTAACCGACTTTGACTTACACTGTCAGTTGCTTGATACAGGCTCTTCAGGTGGTTGTACGCGAGCTCCGCGGAGTTACCGTAACCTCGGTAAGTCCTTATGTTCTGCTGTTGAGTCGGGGTGATATTTCTCAGTAGGATCGTGTACACCATCATTGACTGATAGGTGTACTGCTGCTTCTCGTACTGTGTGCCGTTTGTTGGGTATGGCAGGGACCCGTCGAAGAACCCGAGTATCTGCGCGCCTTCCATCATCAGCTCAAACTCGAACGACCAGGTGAAGAAATCCTTTCCATCGAAAGGTCTTGACGTCTGCATCTTCAGAACATGTGCGAACTGCGACTGAACCTGTAGTGCGTCCAGTTGTTTTTCTTGTCCAGGTAAGGGATGTGGGTGTGGCATGAAGGTGATGGATCCGCGCTCGTACGGAGCAAAGGTAGGCTGCTGTTGCCGATTTCGTCGTGCATACGATGAGCCGTCGAGACTCATGGGTGTTGCTCCGTTGTTGTTGTTGTTGTGTGATTGCGCAGGTGCCGATTGCTGGTGTTGCTCGTAGAAGGACATGAAGGAGAAAAACTTCTCCATCATGCTCTTGTCGAAGTCCGCAGGATGATTTGCGGGAGTCTCAGTAGATGTTGCTCTAGGTCTTGTTGTTGTGCCCTCCTCTGTCTGTAGGCTAGAGGCAGGAGGTGGAGTAGGAGTAGTGCCCTGGGATCCGTTGGAGTTGCTCCTTCCCTTTTGTGTAGCCATGCTGATTGACATTGTTGGTATGTAAGTCGAATTCCCCCTGATAGCTCTCATACCATGTTGGGCTGTAAAGGCCCTTAGGATCTTTGCAGAGGTGAATTTTGGGTAGAGTTGATGTAGTAGCGGAAGCGTCTTAATAAAGAGTTTGTGAACCACCTTGCGCTAGTATGTGAGGGCAAAGTGAATTGATTAAAGCAAAGAGATACAAGATTATATATGAATACAGAGAATATGAAGAGACACAGTTATAACTACTTTACTGTTGCTGTTGCGGTTCGATATAGTGACGACTCGGGCAACTGCTCTGTAACGAGTCAGTTGTGTGTCCTTGCTGTCGCACTGCATTTGTCAGGTCAAAGGTCGCTGACCTTTGACTTTCGCGTAACCTCCAGCGGTTACTTCAACCTCCGAGGGTTGACTCGCTGGTGCCTCGATATGCTCTGCTTCGCTTGTGCCTTAGTGTTTCGACACGTTAGAGGCGCTTAGGAACGACTGTTTCCAACATGCACAAGGAACGATTTCTGGGTCGATTCATAATGAAATATTCATTCTTTCAAATTATGAACGCCCCACAAAGAAATTCCGCATCTTGTGTTTTCTAGAAAGGTATATGAACTACGCACCTTACATTCTCACAAATAAATTGGCTTAGAATACGCATATTCACATCAAATTTTATAAAGGCACCTTTTAGCATACATTAGATAGCCTATTAGTTACATGCTGGTGCTGAAGAATTTGCATACCGTCTTGGTGAGCATAGTCCCCTGGTTTGCTGCCACTAAAGTGTACACTTTCACCAAACATGACCGAATCTCCAAATCCCGTACAAGTTTTTGTTCTCTTACTAGGCACTGATCCGATCGGAGGTCCTGACAGGCCTGCTTCTCTGAGCGCTTCGCGCCTTTCGACAAAGGCATTGTCAGAGCCTCCGGAATCCGCGCCGCATCCAACGCTCAGGCCAAGGTTAGAGCGCAGTCACGCGCGCAATACCCGGTTCGAGGATCAGATCTGACGAACGACTCGCGATGCGTCCCGCGTCGCGCGATGCAGTTTCGCAACGGATCTGGCCGTCGTGGATCCGCTTTGCCGTCGTCAGCATCGTGCTGATGTGGCAGTTGGGAGAGAGTGGCGTGGCAGCGGACGTGATTGGATGCGGAGGTTTTGTCCAGGTAGGCTCATGATTTGCTCGTCAAGGACGTGTCAGTTTTGTAAGACGTTTTCAAGACACAGTCAGGCTGATAATATGCTCGTAAGTGAGTATTATGCGCCACGATTTGTAATGAGCGGAGTAAGTGGATTGCCATTTCTCACTAGGTGACAAAGTGGATCGGGATCCGATGCGATAGTTCACGCAATCTGCAGATACGATCGGATTTTATTCCGCGTTGCATGTTTAGCGAATTCTTTCTGGCACGGTAAGGTTAGTACCGTATGATATAAATGCGAGGATCTCGCGCCGCGTCTCCCCACTTCGCGCTCATCGCTGTGACTCTCGCATAATGTTAGTCGACTGAAATGTCGCTCGCATTCTTCCCCATTTCCTGATTTTGAGGCGCCTTTAAAGTAGACTCCCAAAGTCGCATGCCTCCTGATTCCCTCATCCCTCCCCGCCCCCCCTCTGACCGTCGCCAGGCCAGCAGGCAGCTCGCGTCGCTGCGTGCAGACTCTGATTCGACCTACAGTCACACTCTTCCTTCTCCCCTCGCCTTTTCCCCATGTCCTGTCTCCTCTCTCATCCCTCCCCGCCCACCTCTGACCGTCGCCAGGCCAGCAGGCAGCTCGCGTCGCTGCGTGCAGACTCTGATTCGACCTACAGTCACACTCTTCCTTCTCCCCTCGCCTTTTCCCCATGTCCTGTCTCCTCTCTCATCCCTCCCCGCCCACCTCTGACCGTCGCCAGGCCAGCAGGCAGCTCGCGTCGCTGCGTGCAGACTCCGATGCCTCGCTCGACTACTCACGCCTTGTGGTACAGTCCTGTGCAGTTTGGTGCAGCGTGGTTCTGTCTGGTGTGGTGGGGCATGGTGTGGTTTGGTGTCGTTTGAGAAGGTGTGACTAGTGATGTGGTGCGGTGCGGTGCAGTGCGGTGGAGCACCTGTGCATGAAGGCACGCTCCAGATCCCGTAAGGACATTGCAGGTTTTATTTTTTGCTCCACCGATTTCGCTTCGGAATTTGAAAGCCCGTTTTCACCCCATGGTTGTTAGCCTGTTCTTCTCACTGCATCCGTGTTCCCTACCCCATCCCCTCTTCCTCCCATGCTGGCAGGTGGAGCTGCGCACGCAGGAGGGCATGGTGAAGGAGCAAGCGCACTGTGCGCCCAACGGCTATTATTTCCTGCCGGTCTATACCCAGGTGGGTCATTCTGCCAAGGGTGATGTGACATCCCAAGGTGATGTGACATTCCCAAGGTGATGTGACATTCCCAAGGTGATGTGACATTCCCAAGGTGATGTGACATTCCCAAGGTGATGTGACATTCCCAATGTGATGTGACATTCCCAAGGTAATGTGACATTCCCGAGATGACACGCCCTGTCCTCCCTCATAATTCCTCTGTGCCCCGTGTGCTGCCCCCATTTCCTTTTTACAACCACAGGTAACGTTTGAGCTGGCCTTGCGGGGCCCCCCGGGATGGTCGTGTGAGCTGGAGAGTGTATACGTGGCAGTTGACTGCATTCATCTTCTATTGCAACATGCCCCGTGCTCCCCCCTTACAGTCACACATTGTGTCAAATCTCTCTCTCGTTACAACCACAGGGAACGTTCGAGCTGGCAGTGAGAGGTCCCCCTGGGTGGTCGTTCGAACCGGAAAGCGTGTCGGTGACGGTTGATGGGGAGGCGTGCAATGGCAACAGGGATGTCAACTTCCACCACAAGGGGTGAGCAAGAAAGGGGGGTAAGCAGGGGATAGGGGGGCTGCAACCCTCGATGTTCGAGGCGCCTAAAACACCCCCCTCTGGGTGGTGATTTGGCCTGGAGAGCATATCAGTGACAGTCAATGGGGAGGCGTGCAATGGCAACAGGGACGTCAACTTCCACCACAACGGGTGAGTGGGGGGGGAAGGGGGATAAAGGAAGGGGGAACAGGCGAAAGGGGGCTTCAAGTCAACACTTGGTGGTTGAGGCGCTCTCTAGCCCCCCCTGGATGGTCGTTAGAGCCGGAGAGAGTGTCAGTGACGGTCGATGGGGAGGCGTGCAATGGCACCAAGGACGTCAATTTTCACCACAAGGGGTGAGAGGGCGTGGAGGGGGGAGGGGTGAGTGGCGCAACTTGCACAAGGCGAGCTTGCTGGTTGAAGCCGGAGAGTGTGTGGGTGACGGTCGATGGGGAGGCGTGCAATGGCAATAAGGATGTCAACTTCCATCACAAGGGGTGAGCAAGAAAGGGGGGTATGGAGGGGATAGGGGGGCTGCAACCCCCCTATCAGTGACAGTCGATGGGGAGGCGTGCAATGGCAATAAGGACGTCAACTTCCATTACAAGGGGTGAGGGATTAAGGGGGGATACGGAGGGGAAAGGGGAGCGTGAGCTCTTGGCGTTTCAGGCATGTAAAACAATCCCCTGGGTGGTCGTTCGAGCGGAGAGCGTGTCAGTGACAGTTGATGGGGAGGCGTGCAATGCAAAAAAAGGCGTCAACTTCCTCCACAAGGGGTGAGCGGGGGGGGATGGGATGGCGCTTTGATTAAACTCTCGGTGCTGTTTGGGAGAGAGTGTCAGTGACAGTCGATTCAGAGGCGTGCAATGGCAATAAGGACGTCAATTTCCATCACAGCTATCCATCAAAGGGAGTGGGGGACTGGCTTTGGTTGTCTATGGTGCCGCAGCTGTCCCCCTGACTTGAGCCGGAAGCGCGTCGGTGGCACCTGATTAGCGGCTGTGCTTGTGTTGCGGCAATTGATCGAGTGCTGCCCTTATGATGTGATTTTACCACTGCTCTGCTGCAATCCCAGCCATTCATTCCCGGTCCACTGCATCCCTCTCCCGTCCTTCGTGGCAGCTTCGGATTGGCTGGAAAGGTGCTCGGTCCCGAGAGCCCCTCCTGTGCCGCCCAGGCCAAGGGCCCTGCGGGCGTGACTGTGACTGTAACGAGGGCTGGCAGTGAGGGGGGAGAGAGCAAGGGGGCGGCAGAGGTGGTGGCGACTGCAGTGACAGATGGAACCGGGGGTTTCCGCTTCTCCGACCTGCTTGTTGGTATGACCCTGTTCCCATCCATCCCCTCTCTTGAGTCAACTCAAAAGTCACCTTGTAGGTGCTCGGTCCCTCCCGATAGCCCCTGCTGTGGCCCCCAGGCCAAGGGCCCTGCGGGTGTGACTGTGACTGTAACGAGGGCTGGCAATGAGGGCGGGTAGGCGGCGGGCGGGGAGGGCAAGGGGGCGGCGGCGGTGGTGGCGACAGCAGCGACGGACGGGAGTGGTGCCTTCCACTTCTCCGACCTTCTGGTTGGTAAGAAAGACTTTTGCTGTGTGAGAATGCCAGTGAGGGCGGGGAGGGCAAGGGGGCGGCGGCGGTGGTGGCGACAGCCGTGACGGACGGGAGTGGTGCCTTCCGCTTCTCCGACCTGCTTGTTGATATGACTCTGTTACACACTCACCGCTCCTGCTTGCTCTTGCAGCCTGCTTGTAGGTATGACTGCACTCTTGAAGCGCCTCAGAAATAGACCCGCTGGCTGGTAGGACTTTTGAGGCGCCTCAAAAATCGTCTCCTGCTTGTTCTTGCAGCCTGCTTGTGGCTGTAACTGCACTCTTGAAACGCCTCAGAAATAGACCCGCTGGCTGGTAGGACTTTTGAGGCGCCTCAAAAATCGTCTCCTGCTTGTTCTTGCAGCCTCCTTGTGGCTGTAACTGCACTCTTGAAGCGCCTCAGAAATAGACCCGCTGGTTGGTAGAGCCCTCTTCCCATCGCCATTTCTGACTGGACGCAAAAATCACTTTAGTGATGGCGACTGCAGTGATGGATGGGAGTGGTGCTTTTCACTTCTCCGATCTGCTTGTTGGTACGGCCCTTCTCCCATCCATCCCCTTCTTGCTCCCACGTTTCTTCCTTCTTCTCGCCTCCCTCTTTTTCCTCCCTCCCTCTTCCCCCATCCCCTCCACCCGCAGGCACCTACACCCTCTCCGCCTCTCACCCCACGTGGCCCATCAAGCTGCTCGGCAATCCCAAGGTGGACCTGGGCTGGGGCAGCATGGAGCTTCTGGATCTCTTCCAAGTGGCGGGATACAGCCTGTCAGGCTCGGTTGAGGCACAGGTGAGCGGTTGGGTGCGGGTTGTGTGTGGTCCTGAGCAGTTGTGTGCGGTTCTGTGGGATAGTTCACTCTTGCCTGCACGAGTGCCATGGTGCATCATGGAGCTCCCGGACCTCTTCCAAGTGGCGTGCTACAGCTTGTTCGGTTTGGTGGAAGCTCAGGCAGAAAGGAAGTTGAGTGTGCATGAGTGCATGATTGTGCATTACGGCTCTGTGCTCTTGTCTGCACGTTGAGCTCAAGTCCCGCGAGTGGAGCAAAGCGCGCGCGCGGACCAAGGCGTGCGCCCAAATCAAGGCGCACCCGCGGACCAAGGCGCGCCCGCGGACCAAGGCGCGCGCCCAAACCAAGGCGCGCGCCCGGACCAAGGCGCGCGCAGGGACCAAGGCGCACGGACCAGACCAAGGCGCGCGCCCGGACCAAGGCACGCGCAAGGACCAAGGCGCGCGCACGGACCAAGGCGCGCGCGCCCGGACAAAGGCGCGCGCGCCCGGACCAAGGCGCGCGCGCGGACAAAGGCGCGCGCAGACCAAGGCGCGCGCGCGGACCAAGGCGCGCGCGCGGACCAAGGCGGCACGCAAACCAAGGCGCGCGCGCTGACCAAGGCGCGCGCGCGCTGACCAAGGTACGCGCGCCCGGACCAAGGCGCGCGCGCCCGGGCCAAGGTGCGCGCGCCCGGACCAAGGCACGCGCACCCGGACCAAGGCGCGCGCGCGAACCACGGCGCGCGCGCAGACCAAGGCGCGCGCGCGCACCAAGGCGCTCGCGCGCCCCAATATGCGCGCGCAGACCAAGGCGCGCGTGCGGACCAAGGCACGCGTGTTGGTCCAGGGGAGGTTGGTTCAGGCGCGCGCGTTGGTCCAGGCGCGCGCGCCAGTCTAGGCGCGCGCGTTGGTCTAGGGGCGGCGAACCATGGGCGCGCGTTGGTCCAGGGGCTCGCGTTGGTCCAGGCGCGCGCATTGGTCCAAGCGCGCGCGATGGTCCAGGCGCGCGCGCTAGCCCAAGCGCGCGCGTTGGTCCAGGGGCGCGCATTGGTCCACGGGCGCGCGTTGGTCGAGGCGCGCGCGTTGGTCGAGGCGCGCGCATTGATCAAGGCGCGCGCGTGCGCGCATTGGTCCAGACGCGCGCGTTGATCCGGGCGCGCGCGTAAGTCCGGGCGCGCGCATAAGTCCGGCGCGAGGGTTGGTCTAGGCACGCGCGCGTCGGTCCTGGCGCGCGCGTTGGTCTAGGCACGCGCGTCGGTCGAAGCGTGCGCGCTAGTCGAGGCGCGCGCGTCAGTCCTGGCGCGCGCGTTTTGGTCAAGGCGCGCGTGTTGGTCCAGGGGCGCGCGTTGGTCCAGGCGTGCGCGTTGGTCCAGGCGCGCACGTTGGTCCAGGCGCGCGCGCCGGTCCAAGGGCGCGCGTCGGTCCAAGGGCGCGCGTCGGTCCAAGGGCGCGCGTTGGTCCAGGGGCTCGCGTTTGTCCCGGGGCGCGCGTTGGTCCAGGCGCGCGCGCCGGTCCAAGCGTGCGCTAGAGTCCAAGCGCGCGCGTTGGTCCAGGGGCGCGCATTGGTCCAGGGGCGCGCGTTGGTCCATGCGCGCGCGTTGGTCCAGGCGCATGCGTTGGTCCAGGCGCGCGTGTTCGTCCAGGCGCGCGCGTTGGTCCAGGGGTGCGCATTGGTCCAGGGGCGCGCGTTGGTCCAGGCATGCGCGTTGGTCGAGGCGCGCGCGTTGGTCGAGGCGTGCACGTTGGTCCAGGCGCGCGCGATGGTCCAGGGGCGCGCATTGGTCCAGGGGCGCGCGTTGGTCCAGGGGCCACGCGTTGGTCAATGCGCGCGCGTTGGTCCAGGGACGCGCGCTGGTTTAGGCGTGCGCGTTGGTCCTGGCGCGCGCGTTGGTCCTGGCGCGCGCGTTGGTCCAGGCGCGCGCGTTGGTCCAGGCGTGCGCGTCGGTCCAAGGGCGCGCGTCGGTCCAAGGGCGCGCGTTGGTCCAAGGGCGCGCGTTGGTCCAGGGGCGCGCGCGTCGGTCCAGGGGCGCGCGTTGGTCCAGGGGCGCGCGTTGGTCCAGGGGCGCGCGTTGGTCTAGGCGCGCGCGTTGGTCCGGGCGCGCGCGTTGGTCCAGTGGCGCGCCTTGGTCCAAGGGCGCGCGTTGGTCCAGGCGCGTGCGTTGGTCCAGGCGCGCACGTTGGTCCAGGCGCGCACGTTGGTCCAGGCGCGCGCGTTGGTCCTGTCGCGCGCGTTGGTCCAGGGGGGCGCGAAGGTTCAGGGTCGCGCGTTGGTCTAGGCGCGCGCGTAGGTCCAGGCGCGCGTGTTAGTCCAGGCGCGCGCGTTGGTCCAGGCGCGCGCGTTGGTCCAAGTGCGCGCGCGTTGGTCCAGGCGCGCGCGTTGGTCGAGGCGCGCGCATTGGTCGAGGCGCGCGCATTGGTCCAGGCGCGCGCGTCGGTCCAAGCGCGCGCGCGTAGGTCTAGGCGCGCGCGTCGGTCCAGGGGCGCGCGTTGGTCCAGGGGCGCGCGTCAGTCCAGGCGCGTGTGTTGGTCCAGGCACGCGCGTTGGTCCGGGCGCGCGCGTTGGTCCGGCGTGCGCGTTGGTCCAGGCGCGCGCGCATTGGTCCAGGCGCGCGCGTTGGTCCAGGCGCGCGCGTTAATCCGGCGCGCGCGTTGGTCCAGGCGCGTGCGCGATTGTCCAGGCGCGTGCGCTGGTCCAGGCGCTCGTGTTGGTCCAGGCGCGCGCGTTGGTCCAGGCGCGCGCGTTGGTCCAGGCGAGCGCGTTGGTCCAGGGGCGCGCGTTGGTCCAGGGGCGCGGGTTGGTCCAGGGGCGCGCGTTGGTCCAGGGGCTCGCGTTGGTCCAGGGGCTCGCGTTGGTCCAGGGGCTCGCGTTGGTCCAGGCGCGCGCGCATTGGTCCACGCGCGCGCTGTGGTCCAGGGGCGCGCGTTGGTCCAGGGGCGCTCGTTGGTCCAGGCGCGCGCGTTGGTCCAGGCGCGCGCGTTGGTCCATGCGCGCGCGATGGTCCAGGCGCGCGCGTTGGTCCTGGCCGCGCGCATGTTGGTCCAGGCGCGCGCGCGTTGGTCGAGGCGCCAAGTGAGGCGCGTTGGGCCAAGTGAGGCGCGTTGGTCTAGGGTTGCGCGTTGGTCCAGGCGCGCGCACGTTGGTCCAGGCGCGCGCGTTGGTCCAGGGGCGTGCGTTGGTCCAGGCGCGCGCGTTGGTCCTGGCGCGCACGCGTTGGTCCAGGCGCGCGCGCATTGGTCCAGGTGCGCGCGTTGGTCCACGCGCGCGCATTGGTTCAGGCGCGCGCGCGCTGGTCTTGTCTCGTTGGTCCAGGCGCGCACTCGTTGGTCCAGGCGCGCGCGCATTGGTCCAGGCGCGCGCGCGTTGGTCCAGGCGCGCGCGTTGGTCCAGGTGCGCGCGCGTTGGTCCAGGCGCACGCGCATTGGTCAAGGCGCCAAGTGAGGCGCGTTGGGCCAAGTGAAAGGCGCGCGCGCGCGCGCCAAGTGACGCGTGCGCGCGCGTGTGGGCCAAGTAAAGCTCGCGCGCGCAGGCCAAGTAAGGCGCGCGCGCGGGGGCCAAGTGAAACGCGCGCGCGCGGGGGCCACGTAAGATGCGCGCGCGCGGGGGCCAAGTGAAGAGCGCGCGCGGGCAAGTGAAGCGCGCGCGCGGGCCAAGTAAGGCGCGCGTGTGCGCGCGTGGGCCAAGTGAGGCGCGCGCGTGGACCAAGGCGCGCGCGCGGACCAGGGCTCACGCACGGACCATGACTCACGCGCGGACCAGGGCTCACGCGCGGACCAGGGCGCGCGCATGGACCAAGTACCCGCTTCCTCTTCCCTCCTCCTCTTCCCTCCTCCTCCAGCCCTCCCCCTCTTCCCCTCCCTTTGTCCTGTGCAACAGAAAAATCTTGTCCGAGGAGTGCGGAAAATCCTTTTCTCCAATTCCACCTTAACCCACCCCAACCCACTCCACTCCACACTCCACACCACTGCACCCTTCCCCTTCCCCATTCCTCCCCTTTCCTCCCACACAGGAAAACCCAGTCCCAGGAGTGCAGATATTCCTTTTCTCCGACTTCACCCCACCTCACCTTACCCCACCCCACTGCACCCTTCACCTTTCCCCATTCCCCCCTCCCCCCCCGGTTTCCCTCACAGAATAACCCAGTCCCAGGAGTGCAGATCTTCCTTTTCTCCGACTCCGTTCAAAAGATTCCCACCTGCCCGGCCGGCCCGGGCAGCTCTCCGTTGCCCGGAAAAACTCCGCTCTGCCACACCACCACGGGAGCGGACGGGCGGTTCTCGTTCCGCGAGCTGCCATGTGGCGCGTTCTCATTAGTCCCCCAGTACAAGGGCGAGGCAACGGTGTTTGAGATGGCACCCAAGGAGATGACAGTGGCGGTGGGGCATGCTGATGCTGCTACAGCAGAGCCGTTCCAGGTAAGGAGATGGCAGTGGTAGTGAGTGGGAAGGAATGAGAGTGCTGCCGCATTGGTCCCACTGGTTCCTGAATGCAAGGGAGAGGCAATGGTGTTTGAGATGGCGCCCAAGGAGATGGGGGTGGCGGTGGGGCATGCTGACGCCGCTGCTGCTGCAGAGCCGCTCCAGGTGAGACCCTGCTTGTCAAGAAGCACCTGCCTTGTGGGCCACTGGAGGTGATGGTGTTTGATGTGGCGCCCAAGGAGATGGCAGTGGCGGTGGGGTATGCTGATGCTGCTACTGCAGAGCCGTTCAAGTAACACCTTCCCAGGTAGCACCTTCTGTGGTATCAGTGACGGGTTGAGTCCCCCAGTACAAGGGCGAGGCGACGGTGTTTGAGATGGTGGCTAAGGAGATGGCAGTGGTGGTGGGGGCAAGCTGATGCTGTTACAGCAGAGCTGTTCCAGGTAACACCTTCCCAGGTAACACCTTCCCAGGTAACACTTTCCCAGGTAGCACCTTCCCAGGTGATTGTGAATTCCATTAGCCTTCCTCCTCTCTCCCTCCCCTCTCCCTTCTCTCTTCCTCCCCTCTCCCTCCTCTCTCCCTCCTCTCTCCATCTCTTTCCCTGCATGGACGCTGGTTGTCCGTATCTGGACGCGTGGAGGACATGGCAGGGGAGTTGATTGCAACTCCACACTAACCTTCCTCCTCCTCCCCTTCCTCTCGCCCTCCTCCCTCTCCTTCAGGTCCGCGGGTTCTCTGTATCTGGACGCGTCGTGGACATGGCAGGGGAGGGCGTGGAGGGAGCAACAGAGAGGAATTGTAACTTCCCAGTAGCCCTCGTCCTCTCTCCCCCCTCTCTCGCCCCTTCTCTTTCCCCCAGGTCTGCGGGTTCTCTGTATCTGGACGCGTGGAGGACAGCGCAGGGGAGGGTGTGTGGAGGGAGCAACAGAGGAACTGTAACTTCCCAGTAACCCTCGTCCTCTCTCCCCCCTCTCTCGCCCCTTCTCTTTCCCCCAGGTCTGCGGGTTCTCTGTATCTGGACGCGTGGAGGACAGCGCAGGGGAGGGTGTGTGGAGGGAGCAACAGAGGAACTGTAACTTCCCAGTAACCCTCGTCCTCTCTCCCCCCTCTCTCGCCCCTTCTCTTTCCCCCAGGTCTGCGGGTTCTCTGTATCTGGACGCGTGGAGGACAGCGCAGGGGAGGGTGTGTGGAGGGAGCAACAGAGGAACTGTAACTTCCCAGTAACCCTCGTCCTCTCTCCCCCCTCTCTCGCCCCTTCTCTTTCCCCCAGGTCTGCGGGTTCTCTGTATCTGGACGCGTGGAGGACAGTGCAGGGGAGGGTGTGTGGAGGGAGCAACAGAGGAACTGTAACTTCCCAGTAACCCTCGTCCTCTCTCCCCCCTTTCTCGCCCCCTTCTCTCTCCTTCAGGTCCGCGGGTTCTCTGTATCTGGACGCGTGGAGGACAGTGCAGGGGAGGGCGTGGAGGGAGCAACAGTGCTGCTCAACGGCCAGCCACGCGCCGTCACAGACGCCCAGGTGCAGTGCGGTGGAAAAGCAATATGGGCCGGTATAGTTGGTGGTGGTGTGGGTGTACAAGAAAGGTGCTTCTTCTCAATCAACGGCAATTCACGCGCCGTCACAGACGCCCAGGCGTGAGCGCTCACTCCCGGCCTGCTTCCCAGTTGACTTTTGAGTCGACTCAAATGTCACAGATGTCCAGGCGCTTGCTCACTCCCTGCTTCCTCACCACTTTCTTTGTGGAGTGAGGTGTATGTTGAGGCGCCTCAAAATACACCTCACTACACACAGACGTCCAGGCGCTTGCTCACTCCCTGCTTCCTCACCACTTTCTTTCTTTGTTTTGACGATTTGACACTCCCTCTCCCCCGCCCCCACTCTTCCCCACCCCCCTTTCATTGAGGTCGTTTTTAAGGCGCCTCAAAAACGACCTTCTTTGTTTTGCAGTTCTGATACTACTTCTCCCTCGCCCCCACTCTTTCCCACCCCATTTTCCTCCTCTCCTCCTTTACGAACAAGCAGGGACAGTACAGCCTGCACCAGATAACACCGGGCCAGTACGCCCTGTCCGCCATCAAAAACTCCACTTGCCATCTGATTCCAGTGCTTCCCTTACCCACCTGCCTCTCTTCCCCCAACAAGCAGGGTCAGTACAGCCTGCACCAGATAACATCAGGCCAGTACGCCCTGTCCGCCTCCAAGCCGCGCTACGCCTTCACGCCCCTCCCCTCCCTCTCCATCGTCCCCTCCGCCTCCCTCCTGCCCCCTCTCCGCGCCTCGCACTACGAGCTGTGTGTCGCCACACTATTGGACGACGGGTCGGCGTTCCAAGCGGGCGGCAGACAGGTGGCGCTGACTGGACGGGGAGGGGAGGAGGTGGCGCCTCAGGCGAAGAAGACGGATGCTGATGGGAGAGTGTGCTTTATGGTGAGTTCAATGGCTGGGAATTTTGATTCCTGTGAGGGAAGGGGAGGGGAGGGGGTCTCACCACAAGCCAAGAAGACGGATTCAGATGGGAAAGTGTGCTTCATGGTGAGTGTCGCAATGGCTCTTGACAGTCGGCGTTCCAAGCGGGCGGCAGGCAGGTGGCGCTGACTGGATGGGGAGGGGAGGAGGTGTCGCCGCAAGCCAAGAAGACAGATGCAGATGGGAAAGTATGCCTCATGGTGAGTTCAGCTATATGGCTGTTGTAACCAACCTTGTTGTTCTGTAGTGGTGTCTGAGGGAGGGAGGGGGAAGGAGGGAGGTGTCACGACAAGCCAAGAAGACGGATGCAGAATGGAGGGTGTGCTTGGCTTCATGGTGAGCTTAGGCGCATGGTTGTGATGTTCAGACACTTTTGAGGCTGCATCTGTTTTTAGCATTCTACAAAAAACGGGAACCGATGTGAATGGGAGTGTGAATGGGAGGAAGGTGTGTTTAGTGGTGAGCTCCCTGCACGACTTCGATCTTCAGTCTTGGGTATCAGCTTTTCGTTTCCTCACCCCCTCTCCTCCCTCCAGGTTCTCCCAGGTACCTACCAGCTCGCCCCCTTTTGCTCGCCCCCAACGTGCCACCAGCAGGGGCAGCAGCAGGGATGTACCTCCTCCTCCTCCTCGCCCCTTCACGTGATAAAAGAGAGTTCTTGAGACGTCTCAAAAACGATTTTTGAGGCGCCTAAAAAATCGCCTCAGTTCACGCGGCTTTTACAACGTGCAACCAGGAGAGGCAGCAGCAGGGATGCCTCTCCTCCTCGTCGCCCCCTTCCCCTCGCTTGCCCACATCACTCTTATGTCCTTTGTCTTGCCTCACTCACTCAACTGTCCTCTGTTCTCTGCCTCCTTTCTCTCTTCCCTCCAGCTCCCCCCCAGGCAGTTCTCTGCCTCCTTTCTCTCTTCCCTCCAGGTCCCCCCCAGGCACCTATCAGCTCGCCCGACACGTCGTACCAGTGGAGGCAGCAGCAGGACCCGCCTTCCCCCCTTTCCTTCGCCACCGCCTTACATTCCTTTGTTGCTCCCCTGTCTTCCCTCCAGGTCCCTCCAGGCACCTACCAGCTCGCCCCACACGTGCTACCAGCCAAGGCAGCAGCAGGGCTGGCCTTCGCCCCTCCTTTCGCCACCGTCTTGCAGTCACATCCCTTGTCCTTCCACTCCTTCCTCTCCTTCCCTCCTTCCAGGTCCCTCCAGGCACCTATCAGCTCGCCCCACACGTCCTACCGGCTGAGGCAGCAGCAGGGCTGGCCTTCGCCCCTGCCCTCGCCACCGTTACAGTCACATCCAAGCCTGTCACAGGAGTCTCCTTCAACCAATCGCATCTCTCCGTTTCCGGCCGCGTGATCTGCATCGACGGCTGCGATCGCTCCGTCCGAGTCTCCCTCGCTAGCATCGGACCATTGACGGGATCTGCTGATTCTGCTGCTGCTGCCGCTGCTGCTGCCGGCGCTGCTTCTCGATCGGTTTTCTTGAAGGAGAAAGATGGGTCGTTTCTGTTTGAGAAAGTGGTACCTGGGAAATACAGAATCGAGGTGAGTCTATTGGATGACCGAGTGTAGAAGCTATAAATCTTGAGTGGATATATATACATATGTGTATGTACACATGTACATTTTATTTTTTTTGCAGTGTTTATGCTCTCATAACTAACTGCACGCATTCCCACGTTCCGTTTTTCATGTATCGAAGCAGATGATCCAAGGAAGCGACATGGCAGGTGAAGAGTGGGTTTTGGTACTTCATCTCACCCCTCCCAACACCCTCGAACCCCCGTGCCGCCGTCCCTACCCTCCCCACCAGGCATCCAAGCAGATGATCTAAGGAAGTGAAATGGCGGGCGAGGAGTGGCAATGGTTGCCTCTTTCCCCTCGACGAAATACATCCCAGTCTCCTCTTCTCTGGTGTTCCCCCTTTGCCATCCCCTCCTCCCCCCACAACCTCCTCCCCACGCATTCTCCCCTCCCCCTTCACCACCAGGCGTCCAAGCAGGTGATCCAGGGGAGTGGCATGGCGGGCGACGCGTGGCCTTTGTTACCCCACCCACCCCACTCTTCCCAAAACCCTCATCCCCCCTTCCCACCTCCCTCCCCTCCCTCCCCCCACCAGGCATCCAAGCAGGTGATTCAGGGGAGTGACATGGCGGGCGACGAGTGGTGCTGGAAGACACAGTCCGCTGATGTGGCGGTCTCCGATTCGTCCGTGGTGGGCGTGGCGCTGGAGCAGAGTGGATGGAGGGTGGAGATTGACGCAGCGATGGAGGATACAGTCAGCATGGTGCACGGGGAGACGGCCCTGCCTGCTGTCAAGCTCAAGGTGTGCAAAGCGGTTGAATGCGCTGGAGGTGGGTGGCGATAGATGCTGCTAGTCCGCTTTGGGGTGGGTGGAGGGTGGAGATCGATTGATGCAGGGATGGAGGATACAGTCAGCCTGGTGCACGGGGAAACGCCGCTGCCAGCTGTCAGGCTCTCAAGGTAAGCTAAACTGGTGAATCAAGTGCGCGCCCATGTGTTGGTCTCAGGGTGGGCGTTTTTCAAGTTTCAGGCATCCAGTCTCTCTCCCCCCCCACCCCCTGTGGCTGTGCTTTGCAGAAGGGGCTGCAGCACGTGTGTGTGTCAGCCAGTGGCAGCTACAGACTCCGCTTCCCTTCCCTGACTCGTGCGCCGTTGACAATCCTTCCCCCATTCCCCCATCCCACATCCCCCTTCCCCTCCCCCTGTGGTCGTGCAGAAGGGGCTGCAGCACGTGTGTGTGGCGGCCAGTGGCAGCTACAGCCTCCGCTTCCCTGACTCATGCGCCGTTAACAATCCTTTCCCTCCACCCCCTCCTTCCCCTCCCCCTGTGGTTGTGCAGAAGGGGCTGCAGCACGTGTGTGTGGCAGCCAGTGGCAGCTACAGCCTGCGCTTCCCTGACTCGTGCGTCATGTACGGCGAGGAGGGTGTTTACTACCACACGCAGGAGGTGAAGGTGAGAAGCATGATCTCATGCAACATATATGGCCTGACTCCCTGGCTCGTGTGGCGGCCAGCGGCAGCTACAGCCTCCGCTTCCTTGACTTGTGCGCTATGTATGGCGAGGAGGGCGTTTATTACCACACACAGGAAGTAAAGGTGAGAGAGACTGAGCGCATGTAATGTGGCATGTAATGTGGCATGTAATGTGGCATGTAATGTGGCATGTAATGTGGCATGTAATGTCTGAGCATCTTATTTACAGGCTGCCCTGCTCTGACCCGTGCGACTTTTGAGCCGACTCAAATGTCAGCTTTTGAGTCGACTCAAATGTCTGAGCCATCTGATTTACAGCCTGATCTGCGCTGACCCTTGCGCCATGTACGGCGAGGAGGGCGTTTATTCATCTGCCTACGCCCGTCAGCCTACAGGGTATCCAAACTGCTGCGAGGTGACTTTTGAGTCGACTCAAAAGTCACCTCTTTTGAGTCGACTCAAAAATCTGTCTGCGCCCTTCAGCCTACAGGGTATCCGGACTGCTGCGAGTGAACGCATCCCTCTTTGATATCTCACGCCCTCCTCCCCCTCCCTTCCCGCCCACCCACCTTCTTCCCACCAATTCCCCTCAGGTGATTCGTCTGCGGTCGTCAGCCTACAGGGTATCCGGACTAGTCCAAGTGAACGCGACTCTCTTCCCTTCTGCAGCCTCTATCGCCCCCCACACCTCTGCCCGCCTCTTCAGCCCCACCAACGGCTCCCTGCTCTCCCTCTCTCCCTTTTTCCTCATTCCCTTCCCCCCATGCCTCTCTTACCCTCTCCTTCTCACACCTCCCTCCTCTTCCTTCTCCCTCACACCCCTCCCTTTTTCAGGTGATTCGTCTGCGCCCATCAGCCTACAGGGTCTCAGGGCTAGTCCGAGTGAACGCCTCCCTCTTCCCCTCTGCAGCCTCCGTCGCCCCCCACGCCTCTGCCCGCCTCTTCAACCCCACCAACGGCTCCCTGCTCTCCCACACGCCTCTCTCCCTCGTCTCTGCCCCCAATGCCACACACCCGGTGGCGGTGTATGCGCAAGAGCATTGGGTGGCAGGAGGGGGAGAGCTGCTGCTGGGGTGGTATCACGATGGAGGGGTGGGAGATGATGGATCGACCCTGGATGATGTTGCTGATGCCCTCAAAAGGTAGGCTCTCTTGGTGTTTGCTCCTGTACTTCCTCCCTCCTTCCTCCCTGCTTCCCTCTTCTCTCTCTCCTTCCTCTCTCGCTGCTCCCTGCTTTCCCTCTCGACCCTCTCCCTGGTCTCTGGCCGCTTCTAACTACCCGCCAGAAAATGTGAGGGTTGGCAGGAGCAGACAAAGCACGTTCTGCTCCCAGGGAGTTTTTGAGAATTCTCAAAAACTCCCTAAAATGTGAGGGTTAGCAGGAGCAGACAAAGCACGTTCTGCTCCCACGGCCAGTCAGACAACGAAATCAAATCTTGAGACCTCAAGATTCAACGATACCCTGTGTGTGTCCGCCTGTCTGCCTTCCACAGTTTGTGTGGGGCAGTAGCAGCACACATAGGCACTCTTCAGTCACACAAAAAGAAAAGCCCTTCAACAAATCTTTGAAGAGCTAGAAAAGTATTAAAAACCCCGTGTCTGCCTGCCTGCCTGCCGAAACCTGTGCAGGTTGGCAGCAGCATACACAGACACTCTTTGCTCACACTAAAGCTTGCCAAAACCTTCGCAACCCCGTGTCTGCCTGCCTGCATGCCGAAACCTCTGCAGATTGTACAGTGATTTCACAATGGCTACTCTGGACTGACAACAACAGTGTTACATGGCGGCAGCAGCAGATAAAGTCACACTTCGCTGCCACAAAACCAAAACCGGTTCTGGAATCTTAAACACCCCACTAATCCACAAGCCTTTGTCTCTATCTGTCTGCCCGCCTACCTGCCAAAACATTTGCAGGGCGGCAGCAGCAGATAAAGACACGCTTCGTTCACACGGCCTGACAGACGAGGAAATCGATTCTTTAGACGAGGAGTATAGCCAACTATATGTGGCCGGCGAAGTGGATATAGACGTCAATTACGTGACTCACATTCTTCGTCTCGCTGGGAAAAGGACAAAAGAGGGAGAGCAGGAGGGAGGGGAGGAAGTGGAGGAAGGAAAGAGGTCTGGGGAGGGTGGAGGGGAAGAAGAAGGAGAGAAGGGGCTGGGAAGCAGAGGGATGGATTTGACAAGAGTTGAAGAGGAGGGAGGGGAGGGTGCGAGCGAGGGTGAGGGAGAAGGAGAGAGTGAGGGTGAGGCAGAGGGAGGGGAGGATGAGAGCGATGGCGAGTATGACCTTGAGTGGGCGAACAAGATGCTGCAGGATATGTTTGAATCAGAGGCGCAGGCGCTGAAAACACTTATTGCCAGAGGGTGAGTGATCTTTATGTGTGCTTCACGGTCATGAAGAGGGAGGGGAGGATGAGGGCGAGGGCGAGTATGACCTTGAGTGGGCAAACAAGATGCTGCAGGATATGTTTGAGTCAGAGGCGCAGGCGCTAAAAACACTCATCGCCCAAGGGTGAGTCCTTTATGTTGCCTTGTGGGAGGAGGATGAGGGGTTCCTGAAGGGCGAACAACATGCTGTAGGCTATGTTTGAGTCAGAGGCCCAGGCACTGCAAGCATTGATCGCCCGAGGGTGAGTGTCCTTAATGTTGCCTTATGGGAGGGGGATGAGGGGTTCCTGAAAGGCGAACAATATGCTGCAGGATACGTTTGAGTCAGAGGCGCAGGCACTGAAAGAAATTATCGTCAGAGGGTGAGTGCAATGCCTTTGAGAACAAAGCTCGAGGCACCGCCAGGTGCGATAAGTCAAGTTTTCAGTCGACTCAAAACTAGAGCTATGAGACATGCAGATGCCGATTTCTGCAATGCCTCATAGCTCTAGTTTTGAGTCCAATCGAGCCCCGTTTAGCGGCCATGGTGCAATACGTGGCAGCAATGGGTTGAAAATGACACTGGAGTAGGTGAATGTTCTTTGCGTAGAACGCTTGTTCTTTCGGGAGGGTAGGAGCACGCTTGTGTGGAATTCGATGGTTGCATGGGAATCAAGCTCGAGGCGCTGCCATGCGCGGAACAGCTCTAGAGGCAGTCAGTCAAAGCAGCGCCCTTCCCACCCATCTCTCGTTTCCCACTCTCCCCTCATCCCCCCCTCGTTTCCTTTACCCCTCCCCGCTTCAGCGCTCACATTTCTACATTGGAGCGTGAGGTGCCCCCGCCAAAGGCAGATGCCTCGCCGGTCTTCCCGCCTCCCAGGCGCCTGCTCTTCTACCCGCGCTCTCTCAAGGTGCGTGCGTGGGTGGGTGGGTGGGTGGGTGGGTGGGTCGATTGGTTACATGGGACCAGTGCATTCATTATTCATATCCGCTTTGAACGGGTAGAGGTTTGCGCATCGGTGGTAGCAGGGGAGGCTGCACCAGGGGAGGCTGCACCAGGGGAGGCTGCACCAGGGGAGGCTGCACCAGGGGGCAGATGACTCACCCCTGAAGTGCCCCCCTCCTCTGCCTGCAGCCTAATTAACCCTGCACTCTACCTCACAGGCTGGCTGTTCCCTCCTCTACATCGATATATTCTTTACCCCGTTCTCATCCTTTGCAACCCGTACACCCCACCCCCGGGAACCCAAATCCCCCCCCCCTTCCCTTCCCCCCCCTTCCCTTCCCCCCCCTTCCCTTCCCCCCCCCCTTCCCTTCCCCTCCCTTCAGGTGCAAGTGGCTCCCCTGCAGTGTCCCCCTCTCCTGCCTACCGTCGACGCTCGCCCCGGCCTTTACCTCACAGGCTGGGTGTTCCCCCCTCTGCCACGTGTCAATGTGTCAGTGGTCGCTGATGCTGACAGTGCGAACGCGGGATGGCAGAAGGGGCAGATGGTGATGTGGGCTGAGACTGTGGGGCGGGTGAGGGGGGTGGAAGGGGAGGGGAGTGCGGAGGGGAGCGCGGAGGGGAGTGGGGAGAGGAGGCAGCATGGAGGGGTGGAAGGGGAGATGTTTGTGGTGGGGCCGTTGAACGACGACGCCACTTACCATGTGGAGCTGCAAAAGGTGAGGCTCTTTGTACTTCAACCATCCTGCTTGTGCTGTGCTGCTCTTTGTAATTCGTGAGGTGGAAGGAGAGATGTTCATGGTCAGGCCTTTGAATGACGATGCCACTTACCTCGTGCACCTGCAAAAGGTGAGGCTCAAGGCATGGAGTGCGGCTCTTTTCACTACTTGTGGGTGTGGCGCTTGCCCTGTATTGAGTCAGTGGAAGGGGAGATGTTTGTGGTGGGGCCTTTGAACGACGATGCCACTTACCATGTGGAGCTTCAAAAGGTGTTTTTTTTTCTTCTTTCCTTCTTTCTTTTTTTTGCTTGTCATGTCAATGTTAGCCCTCAATCTCACCTTTGTACTTGTACTTTTTACATCCTAGCTTTGTGTAGTGTGCACTTTGTGTTAGGTTGGGTGTACACCCACATCACAACCAAACCCAAATGTGATCTCCAAGCTATCTCCAACCCACCAATTGGAGATTGCCTTGGGATTACCCCCAATCCCCTAGGATTGCCCCTGATTCTCTCTCCACCCTTACCTTGCCCATTTCCAATGTACTTAAAGAGCCTTGAGCTCAGTACTAGCATGGACTCTAAGCTCAAGTTCTGACATGTCATTGTTGCTGCTTTAGTTCCCTTTCAGCATTTCTTCATCCTTCTGCAGCTTTTTTTCTTTTGGTCCACCAAGACTGATGACTGCTGCCCCTCACCAAATTCCCCCCTCTTCCAACCAACCACCCTCCTTGTTCTCCCAACCAGACTGGCTACGTTTTCAAGGCGCTAGGAGACAACTCGTTTGAAGCACAAAAGCTCGCTTCAATCACCGTCAAAATCGCCATGTCAGCAGAAATTTCCACGGCCAATGAGCCGCTGCCATCTGTCCTCCTCTCACTCACCGGAGACGCCAGCTTTAGGCGCAATGAGGCGACATCACCCGGGCAAAATGTTTTCGCATTCGAGGGTTTGTTTCCGGGCAGCTACTACCTTCGGCCGGTGCTGAAGGAGTATGAGTTTTCGCCGGCTGCCCGCCCAATCAATTTGCAGTCCGGGCAGGAGGTGGACGTGGCGTTCACTGCAAAGAGAGTTGCCTTCAGGTGAGGTTCAACTTTCAGGTGTATTGTCAGGTGTGTTTCTCTCAGTTGAAATGTCAGGTGTCTTTTATGTGGGTTCATTCAGGTGGATTTCAGGTGAATCAGTTCATGTTTTGTCTAAGAGCCCTTTCTCCTCTCTCCTCCCCATACCCCCTCCCCCCTATTTTTCGCTCAGTGTGCTGGGTTCGGTGCATTCTTTGTCAGGAGCGCCACAGGCAGGCGTGCAGGTGGAGGCGAGGGAGGTGGTATCTGGGGGAGGCGGATCACAGTCATCTCACTACGAGATGGCTGTCACAAACGAGGATGGGGAGTACAGGCTGAGAGGACTGCGGCCGGGTGGGTCTTATCTGGTGGAGGTGGCAGTGAGGGCAGGTGCTGCTAAGGACTCCACCTCGCTCCCTCGATTCGAGCGTGCATCACCGAACGAGGCTCTGCTGGTACGTCCCTCTCTTCTATTCTTCTGGTACATATTCCCATATAGCGTTCAGCCTCAGGGGGTTGCGGCCGGGAGGGGCTTATGTGGTGGAGGTGGCAGTGAGGGCTGGTTCTTCCAAAGACTCTGCCTCGCTCCCTCGATTCGAGCGTGCATCACCGAACCAGGCTCTGCTGGTACGTCCCTCTCTTCTATTCCTCTGGTACATATTTCCGTATAGCGTTCAGCCTCAGGGGGTTGCGGCCGGGGGGGCTTATGTGGTGGTGGAGGTGGCAGTGAGGGCAGGTGCTGCTAAGGACTCCACCACGCTCCCTCGATTCGAGCGTGCATCACCGAACCAGGCTCTGCTGGTACGTCCCTCTCTTCTATTCCTCTGGTACATATTCCCGTATAGCGTTCAGCCTCAGGGGGTTGCGGCCGGGGGGGCTTATGTGGTGGTGGAGGTGGCAGTGAGGGCAGGTGCTGCTAAGGACTCCACCACGCTCCCTCGATTCGAGCGTGCATCACCGAACCAGGCTCTGCTGGTACGTCCCTCTCTTCTATTCTTCTGGTACATATTCCCGTATAGCGTTCAGCCTCAGGGGGTTGCGGCCGGGAGGGGCTTATCTGGTGGTGGTGGCAGTGAGGGCAGGTGCTGCTAAGGACTCCACCACGCTCCCTCGATTCGAGCGTGCATTACCGAACCAGGCTCTGCTGGTACGTCCCTCGCTTCCATTCTTCTGACTCCTAATCTCTTATAGCGGTCATGCTGAGGGGGCTGTGGCCGGGAGAGGCGTATGGGATGTAGGTGGCAGTGAGGGCCCGTGCAGCTAAGGACGCCTGCGCATCACCGAACCAGGCCCTGCTGGTACGTTCCTCGCACTCCCCCACACTCCTCTAGTGCATTGTGCGGGCTCAGGGGGCTGTGTCCCTGTCACCAGGTGGGGCTTATCTGGTGGAGGTGGCAGTGAGGGCTGGTGCTGCTAAGGCCGATTCGAGCGTGCATCACCGAGCCAGGCTCTGCTGGTACGTGCCTCTCTTCTATCCCGAACGTCAACTTCGTGGCCTTCAACTCGCCCCCAAGTGTGACTATAACGGGGGCAGTGAGTGGCAGAGACATAGCCGCAAAAAACTTTCCTGTTTTCCATCCTCCCCGCCCGTCTCACTCCCCTTCCCTACACTCACAACTCCAGACAATCACAGGCGATGTCCCGAACGTCAACTTTGTGGTCTTCAACTCGCCCCCGGGTGTGACTATAACGGGGGCAGTGAGCGGCAGAGACACAGCCAAGTGGTTGCCGAACCTCTTTGTCGATCTCTTCCCGAGCGTGACTGTACCCGCAAGTGACAATAACGAGGGGACTGGTACGAGCAGCAGCAGCAGCAGCACCAATGGCGCGGCAGCAGGAGCAGATGGAAGCTTCGAGGAAGCTTCCACTCTCCTCGTCTTCTCTTCCACTCCCATTCGCTCCATCCCCATCCCGCTCTCGCGATTCTTCGAGTTTCGCGACCTGCCCAGGGGCATGTACCTCGTGAAACTGCGTCTCGGGCTGCCCGGAAAATCTCACGTGTTTGAGAGCGAGGGCAGGGAGGTGGATGTGAGGGAGGCGGTAACAGCTCATGCGGGGACGCTGCGTTTCCGGGCCGAGGAGCGTAGATCAAATGAGGTGAGCCTTTGCTCCCAATTACAGCTGCGAATTTAATTTATTTATTTGTTTGCTACCCCAATTCCAATCTCCTGATTTACCCTCCACACTCACTAGTTTCTTGCGGGAATCATTCAGCTGACACTCACTTCCCAGGATAGTCCTGTTCCTGAATCCTCTCCCTATCTCCATCTTGTTGATTGCCATAGCACTTGAATCGTGTGTCCTTGTTGCATCTTTTAGAAGGTTTGTTTCAGTCATATCAAAACCGTTCAAAACCGTACCACTCTTCCCGCATCCCTGCTGCCCACCAGGACCTTGCACCAACCCCGCTTCTCCCGGTGCTGCTTGCAATCGCTGTCATTTCTTGAGTCTTCTCTTTGAGTCGTACCAATCTCGTCCCCCTGTTTGATCTCCCTGTTTCCCAATGTCCCACCAGGACCTTGCACCAACCCCCCTTCTCCCAGTGCTGCTTGCAATTGCAGTCATCTCGGTTGTTGCATCTCTGCCCAAGTAAGTTGCTACAAGGCACCATCAATAGACTTCGACAGCGGTTTGACAGCGGTCTGCCTTTCTATCAGCCATATGGTTCTTGTTCAGAAACATGCCTCTGGTTCACCTGGAAACCAGCTGCTTGCGATTGCAGTTTTTCTTTGGCACCTTCAAAGCCCTGCTCAAGTAAGTTTTGGTCCTTATCGGGGTGCATTCTCTTACGTGTGCTGAACTGTTTCAGGCTGCAGCAATTGGCTGCAGGAGTGGCAGCCACTGGGGGTACGACACCTGGCTCAGCAGCTGGCGACAGCTCAGCAGCACCAGGCGCTGCTGGTGGGTGGGGGGCCTCCGGCGCAGATTCCCGTGGGAAGAATGAGGTTCGGAAGCCTCATGTACGCCGGCGAGCATAAGTTTCACATCAGGACAATGATTCCCTGATTGGCAGATGTGTTGCATCTGCTATGTGTCGTGGTAATTTCCTTTTGAATTAGCTCGGTATTTTCTTTTAGGAATCTACTAAATCATGATCCCCACAACAGCTTTGGTAGGCGTGTGGTGTAGATTAGGTTCCAGTGTAGAAACGTTACACTTCGTCCAATTTGGTGTAGCGCTTCGTCCTTTGTCACCTCCACATCATGGGAAAATATGCCACAAGTAACCAACTTGGGACTCGATAACGTGAATGGTAAAAAATAAAACACGCACGGTCACTGTATCGGGTTTTCTGACGGGCTTGGTAAGCGGGGTCATGGATTCAGTCACTATCAACAGGTAAAAAATCACTCGAATGGTCACACATGTAACTCCCGCCAACAAAACTTGAAACTCAACAAGATTCCCGCTCGCGCCCAACCAATCTGCGAACTTGTAAAAAAACTAAAACCCGATCGGCATCGGATGCGGTTTGGGACGGATCAACCCTAAACACCTGGCGAGTTACGTGTTTAGGGTTGATCATCCGAAAATGCATCCAGGTTCTTTTTAGGTTTCATTTTGTTTTGGCGGGAGTTTCATCTGTGACCATTCGCGTTTTTTTTTACCAGCTGATTGTGACTGATTCCGTGAGACGCGTTATCAGTCGCGTGAAAACACCCTTTGCAGTGACCGTACCCTTTAATGTATTACCAAAACTGTTTTTGAGTCCCACGATGGTTACGAACGGCATATTTTCCCCCACCTCATCACCTGCGACATTTTTCTCCACGCCACGTGGACAGGCTTTCCGCCCTTTTGGATAGCGTGCGCCCAATCCGCAGCAACCCTCGCCAATTTCGAACACTCGTCAATTTCCTCGATAGTATCACATTTGTGTCCTCGTCAGCCCTTGGGGCTTTGTTCTGTCATGAGCAATCACCGTTCTCAACCGTTTGCTACTCTTGCAAAGTGTTCCTGTGTTTGCTTCAGAAATTGGTTTGATTCCTAAATTAGCGTGAGGGGTTTAGAACCTGGTAACTGACATTCAGTCTTCGGAGAGTCCGACTCGTGGAGAAAGGCGTTTGACGAGTCTCTCGTTCCGCGCGGTATTCGCGTACGGCATCAGTCGCGCGTGAGTTTTCATCTAGGCGAGTGCTTTTAATCTCCAGAATAGCCTGCCTAGACCTCATTAGTGTTCACACGCATTCCGCCATGGCTACTATCCGCAGTGTTCTATCCGCTCAGGCAGGAGCGCAGCAGATCAGCTTCTCGGCCACGTGTCAACGCAGAGCGCAGCGCCAGGCAGTCACACCAACGGCCAGTCTCCCCCGCAACCCCGCGTTCCGAGCTTCCGCCGCTCCTCCCTCGGCGCATCCCTCCGCTTTCCTAGGCCAGCAGGACTCCCTCCGCTTGCGCAAGGCCTCCCCTTCCGCCGTCTCCCCATCCGCGCCCCGCCGGCGCGTCTCCCCCGTGAGAGCCGCGGATGGCGACAGCGACGTCCCCGCGTTCAAGGGCTTTCCGCCGATGCAGACGCGGCCCGCGTGGTACTGGCGAATCGCAGCCGTCGTTCCGTACCTGCTGCCGCTCTGCGAGGCGTGGATCTACAGCGAAACGGCTCAATCGCTCTTCCATTTCCTCTTCACATACGAGCAGCTGTGCCAGCCGTTCCTGATGCTGCTGGGTCTGCTCCCTTCCTGGTTCATGCTTGCGTACTTCTTCGGAGCGTACCTTGGGGTTGTCAGGAACAATCGCTGGCCGCATTTCCTGCGGTTCCACGTGGTCACGGGGATGCTTCTGGAGATTATTCTCCAGGTTGTTGGGACGCTGAATGATTGGATTCCCAAGTCGATTTACTGGGGGAAGATCGGCGCGCACTTTTGGCTCGCTATTGCGGTCGCGTTTATCTTTATCGTGCTCGAGTGCATCTGGTGCGCGATTCGCGGGACGTATGCTGACGTGCCGTTTATCTCAGATGCGGCGTACATGCAGATCCCGTACGAGTAAAAAGGTAGGGTTACAGTTTCGTGACATGCCCGTTAGCGGTATATGTTGGATTATACTAGGTTGAAGAACAATAATAATAATTTTGCTACAGTCACGTTATCAGCGTTGCCTCGTATACATTCCTTGCACAGTTAGTATCACCAGCGGATCCCGTATAGCCGTTCTATTAAGGGATGTGTGAAATGAATAATGGCGTTGTCCTTCACTTCCAGGTCCATTCCCTGCCCCAATCTCCTCCTTTCTCTCCCCCCCTCTCTCCCCCTTCCTCCTCCCCGCTATAAACTTCTGCCTCCCCCTCCGCTCCCCCCTCCACCCATCCGCTCTCTTTCTAAATATCCTTCCGTTCTCTCGTCCCTGTTATTGCCGAATTTCCATCTTCTCCTAACCTCCCAGGCGCTTACCTTCTCCCCTTCTCCCCCGGCCTCGTTCCTTTCCGATTCCTATATTCCTTGTCAGGCTTCTCCTCTCCCTTGCTGCTCTTTGTAATACCTTTTTCACTCTTCCTCTCATTTCCTCTCATGACTTGTCCCTCCCCCCCTGCCCCACTTCCTCCCCTGTCATTCATTTCATGCCTTCCCTCACATTCGTGACTGACGGGTCTATCATCCCCACCTTATTATTCTTCCCCATCGTTTGTGTTCCCCCTCTTTCTTGTAATCAGGGCCCGTGCTAGGTTTTGGGGCACCCTGAGCCCTCAGGGCACTTTTCTAGAATCCAAAAAAATGCCCTGATTTCTCAGGGCAAATCTTCTGAGCCTTCCTGATTGGTCAGGGCTTTTGCAGAAAATAATCCTGACGTGTCAGGGCAAAATTAGTAGCGTTCAGGGTTCTGATTTTAGCACAAACAGACCAGGGCAGGGTAGACTCTGTTCTGTTTAGCATAGCAGAGCAGCCGCAGCGCTGCAGCGCACATACAGTTGGTGTTTTACTAGGCAATTAACTCCTGCACCACCTCTCTGTCAGAATGAGGAATGGAGGTTGCATTGATGTTGGTTGGGGTACATATGACAAACCCTAACTTCTGTACCCCCTAAGACAAACCTCACTACAAGCTACAACATTTGACACACCCCCATAGCCTAAGTGAGGGGTGTCTAGCAAAAAAAAAAAAGAGTACGGTCACAAGACCAGTCCAAAAGAAAACAAAGCTCAGGGTGGATCACAACGTCACCACACACTCTGAGCACAAGCAACAGTGGCCACAAGGCCAGTCCAAGAGATCACAAGTATATATAGTAAGTGTACAGACGAAGCAGGCAATAAACTCAAGTCTACGCATGACTAGAACCTGTGTCAACAAGGCCTAACTGCACACAACACCTCTGGTGGTCACAAGGCGGAAGCGCCTTGGTGAAGATGTCTGCAGTGTTGGCCTCGGACTCTACAAACTCGAAGCGAGCCTGTCCACGCCTCTGCAACTCTCGCAGAAGAAAGTACCTGACGTGAATGTGCTTCACTCTGCTCTCCAGTCGCGGCTCACGACAGAGGAGGATCGACGCCTTGTTGTCAGTAAACAAGGTCGGTGCAGAGCTCGGCCGCTCACCAAGGTCGGCGAGCAAGAAGGTCAACCACCGCAACTCCTGTGCCGCCATGGCACCAGCGTAAATCTCAGCCTCAGCTGTAGAGGTCGAGACAGAAGAGGAGCGCGTGGAACGCCAGGAAACAGCTCCAGAACCCAGACTGAAACAGTACCCCTGAGTAGACCTGTGAGTCTCAGCGTCGTCAGCGTAAGAGGAGTCACAGTGACCAGTGAGTACGACAGACTGTTGCCCTCCAAGAACTAGCCCCACGCCTGATGTAGTCGCTACCGTCATCGCCCGGATAGAAGACATATATGTCTTATCTTATACATTAGAAAAAAAGCTTAATGTGTCTTGTAATTGGGACGGTTTAGGGTGTCTTATAATTCTTATAAATGGACAAAAAATCGTTTAGAAGATACCCCCTAGTCATAAGATTGCCCCTAATCCCTATACTGGCTTAACTTGTACACACCGACAGTTGTCTTATAATCAGGAACACCCATCTATAAGAAACACCCGTTTTAACGACACCCCATGTCTTCAATTCGACACTGTCTTATATCCGGGCGATGACGGTAGGTACTTCGCCACCCTCACAGCTGCCGTCCAGTGAACAGGACGGTGTCTCCCTGGCGCAACAAAGCGCGCAAGGATGCTGAGAGGGAAGGCGAGGTCCGGGCGAGTACAAGTCATCAGGTACATGAGGCAACCCACAAGCTCTGCGTAGGGACCACTAGGCTCAAACGGCTCGTCAGGAAAGGGACCACTGAGTCTGTGGTCAACAGCTAGAGGTGTGCGCTGTACGGTGGAGTGCTGAAGCCCGAACCGCTGAAGGACCTGCTGCACCATGTGTGACTGTGAGAGTGTAATGGTGCGAGCGGCTCTGTCACTGGTGATCTGCAGGCCAAGGTAGTGGCGCAGCTCACCAAGATCAGTGCACGTGTGTCTCTTCTGCAGTTCGGACTTCACGTCTGCCAAAGCAACCCTGTCCGAAGTGGCGAAAACGAGGTCGTCGACGTAGACCAGAACAAAGAACGGTGTGGAGCCACGACGAACGAACAGCGACGGGTCGGCAGAAGACGGCTGGAACCCAAGGTCAGAGAGGGTAGAGCGCAGAGTGTCGTGCCACTCACGAGGGGCCTGGCGAAGACCGTAAACAGGTCGCCTCAGCCTCCACTGGGTCCCAGGAGGGAAGGTGCCAGTGAAGGCCGAGGGACGACGCAACCAGACCTCCTCGTGTAGGCTGCCCTGAAGGAAAGCAGTGGAGAAGTCGAGAGAGTGTAACTCGTAGTCTCTCTGTGCTGCTACGTGTAGTAACACCCGAAGAGTGGTCATCTTCGGGGTAGGTGCGAAGGTCTGAAAGAAGTCAACTCCCTCGCGTTGACTGAAACCTCTAGCCACGTAGCGCGCCTTGAAGACCGGGGGAGATCCCGGTGGCCGCTTCACCCTGTAGATCCACATGCCGTCGACTACGTTCGCCCCAGGGGGGGGAACCTCATCGACGTAGGTGCCTGTGGATCTGTAGGAGGCCATCTCTGCGTCCATGGCAGCTCTCCACTGAGAGGCCCAAGGCCCTGACACTGCCTCAGCGTAAGTGCGAGGAGTCGGAATGTCAAGGGCGTCGGGGTCACCCTCAGGGGCGAGGAGCATGGCACAGAGATGAGGGGAAGCGGCCGCCAGGAACTCTAGCTCAAACTGCCTGTCCTCTAGGGCGTCACAGCCAAGGGCAGACACACCCCCGACGGCCAGAGGACTGGTAGGAGGAGCAGCCACAAGCGTGGTGGCGTAGTCAAGGCGGCGGGTAGAGGCAAAGTCAGTAACTGCGGCAGTAAGAGCGGACACAGAGGACACAGAGGCACGAGGGTGAGTAACAAGAGAGGCGAGAACACGAGAGAGAACAGGACGGTACGTGCGGTAGTAGTCAGTGACAGGAGTAGGGAGCGACACAGTGAGGGCCGACTTAGGAGGAGACGGAAGCACAGACTGAGACGGACGAGGTGGACTAGAAAGAAGGAAGGCAGTACGAAGGTCAGTGAAGGGAACAGGAGACGAGGGACGAGCACGAGGGGAGCGACGAGTAGCCCAAGAACGAGACGGAGGAGGAGAGGACAAAGGCGGAGAACTGGGGAAAACAGCGGGGGAGGAGTCAGGAGGAGGAAACGTGGGACCGTAGACAGGAGGAGAGGCGGAGGAGGGAGGAGAAGGGGAGGGGAGACCAAGGATCCGAAGACCCGAGACAGGAGGAGGAAGTGGCTGCTGCTGCTGCGGCTGCGACTGCTGCTGCTGCGGACGCGGCTGCTGCTGGGACTGCTGCTCCTGCAGGTCCAGCTGCTGCTGCTGCTGCTGCTGCTTCTCCTGCGGCTCCAGCTGCTGCTGCTGCTCCTCCAGCCGCTGTAACTCCCTCTCCTCTCTCTCCAACGCCAGCTGCTCGTCACGGGCACGGCGAACACGAGCCTGGTGCCTAGTCGGGTAGGGGTGGGGGGGTGGAGTAGTGTCCGAAGCAGCGGCAGCTCCAGAGTCCACCTCAGAAGAACCAGGCGCACCACCCCCAGAGGCAGCACTAACACCAGCTCCAGAACCAGGCTCACCTGAACCCGAAGGAGGCGCACCCTCACCCCCAGACGCAGCACCCCCAGTGTCCGCGCGGCCAGCACCAGCTCCCGGACGACAAGAGTCCTCTGCACCCACCGGGTCAGCTCCAACTCCAGAACCAGAAACTCCAGCTCCAACCCCAGCTCCAACTCCAGTACCCCCAGAACCAGAAACCGGTACAGGAACAGGCGCCGCACAAACCTCTCGAGAGCTAGCACCAGCGGCACGCTGCGAGGAGGACTGTGGGGAGGGAGGCTGTACCGGAGGGGCTACCGAAGGAGGAGGGGTAGCCTGGGACACACCTGACGGGGCTGGACCAGGGGGGGGAGGCTGTACCGGGGGAGCAGGAGGGGGAACGGCAGTCAGGAAGAGGGGGGGAGGAGGAACCGGGAGACCTCGACTGGGGTACCTGACGTAGTACGGAGTGGACTCCTCGAAACGGACGTCACGGGAGTCAAAGAACCGGTGAGAGGGAGGGTGGTAAAAGGTGAAGTCAGAGGAGTCCTCAGGGAAACCAAGGAAGACACAGGGGACGGCACGAGGCGAGAGCTTGTCCGCGGAGGTGTCGCGGACAAGAGCCAAGCACCCCCAGACACGAAACCGCGACGCAACACCAGGGGACCCTGTCCAAAGACTGGTCGGTGAAACCTCTGGTCGAGAGACACGTGGCCAGAGGTTCAGCTGGTGCGCGGCGTACCTGACCGTGTAGGGCCACAGAAAATGGGGGGCACAGGCGTGAGTCAGGGAGGTGCGGGCGATCTCCATGACCAGGCCTATGCGGCGCTCAGCAACCCCATTCTGCTGTGGGGACTCTGGAAGCGTCCAGGACTGACGAATGCCCTGCTCGCGACAGAATCCAGCGAGAATGCCGGAGCGAAACTCACCCCCACGGTCGGAGTGGAGACAGCTGACACGACGACCACGAGTGTCCTCAGTGGTGAGCAACCACCTGATCAGCGTAGAAGTCACCTCAGACTTCTTCGCCAGAGGGAACACTGTGGTGTAGCGGGAGAAGTCGTCAACTACCACCAGAAAGTAACGCTCACGCTCAGGGCCTAGACGAGGGGCTGGGCCCCAGACGTCCAAGTGAAGCGTCTCAAAAGGCTCGGTGGCCGGACGAAGGGAGGAGGAGTGAGGGGTGGCGCGCAGCCTACCCTCGACGCAGGGACGACACGGCGGCGCAGGCGAAGGCGGCAGCGACGGCAAGACACGTGGGAGGCCTAGGACAAGACGCTGACTAGACATAGCGCGCAGACGTGGAAGGGACGGGTGCCCCATCCGGTGGTGCCACAGAACGGTGGGGTGGGCAAGCGACCGGCAGAAGCACGACGCAGCGACTGGAACAGACGTAGGAACCTGACACGACACAGAC